AATTTCCTCTTTTTCTATAAGCTTGAAAAAGATGGTCTTTGAAAACAGGTACAGCCTCTTTATCAGCAGATAATGCTCCCCCACTTACGGTATTCTGGCAAATACCGAATCGTTTTTTTTTCCGGCGATTTAACCATAAATCACTAGCAGTAAACTCTGAATCTCGTCCTTCTGTTTTTGTCGCTTAAATTCCAAAGCCTTTTACTGCAATATTGGCGCAATTACAGGTGTAGCTTTTCTTCTTAAGTATTCATGTCACAAAAATAAAAGCTTCCTCAACTTCTTTATGCTTACCTTTTAGCATGGTTTTTCCTACTTTTATTTCACTTCCACTAGCTTGTGCGGCACACCACGTTTCAATTTCTGCTCGATTTTTTTCCCAGTCCCCAACTGCACTTTTCCCAGCTCCTAACTACAAAGCTATATTTTTTGCTGTTACACCAGAGTCTAATTGCTGTATAGCGTGTAATTTCTTCTTAGTCACTTCAACGTTTTTTCGTTTAACACCCATTTCGAAATCTTCAGTAATAATCAATATTATGCTGTAGTGCACTTAAAAAAACACTAAGCACACCCCAAGAACAATTCATGAATACTGCACAATTATGTTGTAATCAGGAACAGCGGCAAGCGTGCTGTATTGAGATCTGCTACACACTGACTAAACAATGAACAAACAGCAGAACGCTGTTCTTTTGCTGTCACAACTTGTATTTTCCACATGAGACGTAAGAGAATCGTAGCAGTTGCCCGCTTCCAACGCCTTGGCCATGCAATTTTAGTTACGATAAAAGAAAATTAGGCCAAATAGTACGGAAGCCGGATAGTAAGATAGGCCGTAAATTTGAGAACATTTTGCCATAATAAAAAATACTGCCTATTTACCTCACTGTTATAAAAGAGTTAATTTACTCGTATTTAGTGCGCAAATTCTTCACAGTTACTATCCCAGCTTGTGCATCTGGGACTTCAGGACCCCATTTTTTCCTGTAATCCAGTTTAAATTCTCTTTTTCGTTCCATCACTTCTCAGTTGATGTCTACAATATAATGCAGTGTGTATTTCAGGTAAAGTAAGAAAATGGGAAAAGCTAAGAAATTGCATACAGATATGCAAAGGAACAAGCAGTTAAAGAGAACGAAATTAGCAGAGGGTTTGCAAAATGATGATGCCAAAACTCTCAGAGAAACCATCCTTCTAAAGGAAGATAACAACTTTACTGAGATTAGGAATTTAGGCGACTGAAAATCCTTTTTATTTTTCGACATTTTGGAATAAACATTCTTAAAAATATTTCAAAATTCACTTATTGATTAGCTGAAAGTGAATAAATACGTAATATTCGCAAAAGATGCGAAGCACCTTTTTAGAATTAAAATACTCTAATTCAGAAGTCAAACAACAAAAATCAGCGTTATATTTACAAAATTTTCACAGGACTAGTTTCGATGGTTTTACCGAACCACCATCTTCAGCTGCAAAACCGCATTTTTGCGGTTTTGCAGCTGAAAAAATTTTTTGCGGTTTGCAGCTGAAGATGGTGGTCGGTAAAACCATCGAACTAGTCCTGTGAAAATTTTGTAAATATAACGCTGATTTTTGTTGTTTGACTTCTGAATTAGTATTTATTCGGCGTGTTATTGTGTCTTAATTAAAATACTCTGTTATCCTCCTCTGTCCAGCAGCCCTTAATTGGAGGGAAGATGCAAGGAATTATCTCATTTTTCTGCGAGTTCTCTCGTGATGAAAATAGCTAGCATGTTCCCTGGCGCAAATAGATCCCTGGTTTGAATACCGGCGAAGGCCCAATGGATTTTTCATATTTCCTGCTCCAGATGATCTAAATAAGCCGCTCTAAAAGCAAAGCAATCGAACCTATCTTGACCCACACATGTATTTTAAAATTTTATTTTTCCTATAAAAAAATTCAAAATTTTTCGAAGTTTCAAAGATTAGTTTTTTCTATCTTTTTACGAAAGAAGAGAAAGCTCCCTTTTGTTTTCTTTACTTGGTTTAGAAATTAATGGCTTGTGATTCCGTTATGGGGAAATATTTACATTTCATGAAAGTGCGTTATGATGATGAAAGCATCAGGAGCTCCAAAGCGTGTTTTGAAATAAGTTTTTCATTTCATAATAAACAGCAGGATAAACTATAGATATTATTCTTCAGCAAATGAATTCAGGTAAAAACAATAAATTTCTGGTGAATCTGTTGTATGTCTAAATATTACATATGCAGTTATAGAATGTAGTTGAATATTGAATCACATATGCTCTATTTAGTGAGCAGCGCTGACTTATACATGGCTGTAACGAAGAATAGACAGTACAGCTTCGAGCTATCCTTTTAGAACAGGAAAAAAGAACAAACGACGAATGCAAGAAAACATTTAAGCCTAAAATCTTTTACACGTTGTTTTTTAAGTAATATATTTTAAATAAACAGCATTATTTTCAACTAGAAAACAATACATTAGAAAAACTACTTTTTTGTAAAAAATAGTGGATACAAATGGAGCTGTTGTGCTTTCTGACTAAATGCGCACAATTTTAAATACATCAGAATTTCTTTCGAGCTCCTTTTTTATTTCGACAAAATTTTGAGTTTGGTTTTTGAAATATGTTGACAGTTGTGGAAACATGAATTTCAGTACTTAAGCATATTCTTTATAAGAAATCACAAGGAATTTATAATCTTAAAGTAAATAAGTAAAGTTTATGCTTCAAATTATGTAATGATTCCTTGAATTGTTATTATAAACTGCAAAATTTTGAGCAAAATTTGATCTCTATTGAGTCTGTTTGTGCTTAGTAGATTTTGTTTTCCCGTATGCATAATAGAGAAAAATGGTGCAGTTTATGCCTTTATAGATATCGTTTTCATATGATTTATGATTTTTATATATATATATAATATATACTTATTCTAATTTGAAATTAAATTCGATTAATATATATTAATAAGTATATATTTGGATATCGTTTTCATATGATTTATGATTATATAAATATATACTTATTATTAAATTTTAAATTAAATTCTGAAACTTAAAATTTCCTTAAAATAATAATAAAAATTACCCCATGATGTGTATAGTGAATAAAGTTGCTGGCTGCCCCGGTTCGGATCCTAGAATGTTTGAGAACACGTAGTACCTTTACGGCATGGGGTACTTAAAATACATGGCGAGCCGAAAGTCCTTTCAAATGGTTTGTTAGTAGGGGAAGAGGCGTGGGAGAGACTCTTCGACCGTTCCTCGAAGGACTCTCCTTGAAAATTGTTCGAAACTGGGCATACTCATATGTCACCTATAGGAAGCTCAAAGTCCATGCCAATAACAGGGCTCCTTTCCAAGATTAAAATTTGCGGACTTGTTCTGATGTTCTTGTCAGACAAGAAAGATCAGTCACAACAACAATGACACATCAACAATAGTAATAATATTAATAAGGCTTGAGAGTTCGGCATATAATAATTTTTCTTTTCTGATGCAAAACACAACTCATTTTGGGGTATAATCTCCAAGAATGTACGCTGCGTCCATAAAGTAATAGGTCAACTTTTTTAAACAAGAAAAGATTACTAAATGTAAATAAATTTATCTCCTTCAAAATAGCTGCCAGAGGAATATATAAAATTATTCCAACTTTTCTTCAGGTCATTAAAACACTATTTATAGGCGTTCGCACTAACCGTTCGCAAAATACGCGTACCAGTTGATTTAATATCCGACATGTTTTCAAATCTCTCTCCTTTCATGGCCATCTTAAGCTTAGGAAAATAGAAACAAATCAGTTGGCGGAATATGGTGCGTGATTCATTACTACAATTGAATGCTTAGCAAGATATTGTTGTACAGACAATGCAGTGTGGCGTCTAGCATTATCGTGTAACCGCTGCCCAGAATCAAAAATTTCCTTTTTAACTCGCCATTTCCCGTTTTTCATCGAAGACAAGTACTGGACAAATACTGTTCCTTGGACAAATACTGATTCATTTTCAGGGACAAATTCGTAGTGAATAAGTCCTTTGTAATCAAAAAAATATGCAGTCGGCATCACGTTAGCTTTTTGCTTCCATATCCATGCTTTTTTTTAGCCGTTAGCTTAGAAGGGCTATTAATTTCAAAACGGCATTTTGCGTCAATTCAGATTTCAAACTGTTGCCACCAACTATTATCGCCATGTATTATATTTAAAGAAACTAAATAATGAAGAATTCGTATGAATGTTTCTTACGATAAATAAATACGATACCGGCGTTTTGTTATACAGATGACAAAATAACCGGTTTAAACTGGCTTTAACAAGAGATGTTACTCGTTCTAGAAATAAATTGTTTTGTCCCTTTTTTAATTTATCGTTTGGTCTTTTAATTTGTCCGGTTACTTTATGAGCGCACCTCGTATTATCAAATCTCTAAGTAAAAGATTTGAATAAGTTTCAGGTATATATATTTTTTTCGGGTTATATTAGTTTTCTCATTTCTCGAATCGTACGCGTGATAAGCCCAGCTGAATGACAATTAATACAAGGCCTTCAAATAAATGTCAAACTTTCGCACGAAGAAAATAACCATAGACAAAGAAAATAAATGTTAGAGACACTCTTAATAAATTTTCCATTGAAAATGAGAACCGAAATTTGGTTTTAATATTTAACATTCCTCAGGTATTAAGAGCAACAGGGTAATTAATTTTTTGGGGGGGAAAGGGGGATAGGGAATTTAAAATTATCAGGACTAAATAAATTAGTATTATATATTTTAAGCCGTCCAACCAGTGAGTGGTTAGTGACTCCGGGTTCGAATCCCGGAGAAGGCATGGTTGTAACTTCATAGCAGGCAACGGTAGCCACCTATCAGGTGCTTTCCATAATGAGATGGCCACCATTTCCGACCCTTGTAATGGCCCAAGATTAACGGCTATTAAATAAAGCTAAAAATATGCTAAAAATAAAAAATGTAAACACATTTAAGTATAGATCTGTTTTTTCTTATTTCCAGCAGACATATCTCAGTAAACATGGCTAAAAACGAAGAAAAGGATGAGAAGGAGTTCACTTCGAATGTTATGTACAGTCAACATCCATCCCTACGGAAGCTTGAACCACTTGAGAAGCAGTATCTTCTTTCAGTTGAACGCGGTGATGTGGCCAGAGTGAGAAGGTATTTTACTTTTCAAAACTTGCAATGTTAAATTAAATGCGTAAATAATAAGTTGTTAGATTCAGGAAGAAAATGGCATCACTTGTGAGAAGCCATTCACCAGATAGTTTTGTGACGAAACACATATGAATTCATACCCGGCTGCAGTAAAGTCCCGTTGGACCGAGCTAATTGTAGCAAAGTCCTTTCAAATAACCTAAGGTCAATATTGCTTCTTTTATGTACATTTCAACTTTCTACAATAATGCTATTCTGCATCTAGTTTTTAAATAAATTTCTAAATTTACCTTTTAAACTTACAAGGTTAGATTCAAGTTGACTTTACTACTTCAGTTTAACCTTCAAGTTTGAAAGATGGATTTTATTTCCTGCTTCCACTACACTTTCAGAATGTGAAGTGAATACAAACAGTAGAATAAAAGTAGCTAAAATTTATTTTAGACTTCAACTCGAAGCACGAAACCAAACACGTTTTTAGTTCTGCTTCTAGAGGGATAACAGAATTCGAATTATCTGCATTTCACAAATTCATTTTTGTCGTAGCACCAGACTCGGTAAATTTCATGAACTGTTATTTAACATTCAACAGCAAAAAGAAACGCACTAACTCGAAGAAAAATGCCATTCGCACCGGATATAACGCAGAGCAGTCACTTTATAGCCTGCTGGCGATACCATTTCTCATTCTGTTAACTTAGTTTGTTACCCAGTTTAAAACTCATTTCTTTTCCACATTCTGGTGGAGTAGACGAAACAGTAGAAGTACAGAACAGATTTCAACATAAAAAAACGTAACATGTGAATATTTTCATTCAGACTAAACAAACGAAATTTTAATTTTTATTTCAATTATTATGTTTAAACTATCAAACCGATGTTCAGTAAATAAAACTGGAGGAACGCGCGAAGAAAATAAGTAATGTTGTAATTCGAACGCACGAATATTTGTAAAAAATCTGTAATGTATAAAAAATGTGAAATAAAAATACCTCATAACATTCCATAAATAACCGTAAGTTTTCGATATGAGAATCTTAGAATATTGCCAATGTCAGAGGTCCGCTGACGAATTTCCTCCCAGAACTGAAATAATTCGTTTGCGATATACTACAAAAATTAAAATCCTTCGTTTATTTGATTTAAATGAAAGTAAAATGTTTGTAAGTTTTATATCAATTAATACACTTTGGCTTGCATTGATATCTGTCTTGTACTCCTTCTGTTTCGTCTACTCCACCAGAATATGTAAATGAAATTTTTGGTAACTTATTCACTTATAGTAAAATATAAAGTTCCACTGCCATAATTCATAATTCATCTCCTGGACACATATATTCATAGTCAACTAATTTTATATGCGTATACGGGTTACGTTGTCATACATGCGTTCGTCTCCAGATAAAGAGACAATAGCTGATTTAAAGCTTCAAAATGACTGATTTGGGGATTCTTTGAATTGATTTTATTTTTCGTCCCTGTTTCGATTAAGCCGACTTTCATTAAAGACGAATTTAAGTCAAGCAGAGATCCGTTATGTGGTATTTTAGAGGCTGTTCATAGGAAACAGTTGCCGCAATCTATGTTCAGTGGCGTAACTAGAACTCTTGGGCCCCTTTCCCAATAAATTTAATGTTCTTAAAAATAAATAAAATAAAATAAAATAAAAAACCCGTGAAAAGTTTTAAAAAAAATCAAGGATTCCGGAAGCCAATGTTTTCATGATGATTTTTATCACATCTGGATTAATTGTTAAAAAATAAAAAAGCACGTTCTTAGAAAACCAGTTGAAAGGTACGTAACATGAAGAAAGAATAAAAAGGAAAATAATTTCCCTTGACCAACTGGTGAAATGAAAATTTGCTTTAGTCTGGGTATTTGACGTCAGATGATTTTAATTCAGTTACTTAAAACTTTTTGTGTGAGTGCGAGAGAGAGATTTTTCTCTCCTTTCACTGAGATGCATACTGATAATAAATGAATAAATCTATATAAAAAAAGGAACATGTCGACGTATAGCATTAAGAAAAGGAAGAAAGCCTAGATTTGGGGAGATTTTTATATAAAATCCAAGAAGTTTTACATACTAATGTTTTAAAATTTTATATAAAATCTGCGCCTATCTAAGTTTTTTCGCTTAAGTTAGCAAACTTAAAAATAATTAGTTATATTATAAACTGACAGACAAGATAATTGATAAACGTGCAGAAAAGCTATTACATTAATGTATAGTACTCTGTGATTTACTCAGCTTACGAAAATGATTTATGCAATAATACACAAGTAATAAATAAGAACTTTTATAATGTAAATGATACACTTGTTAAATATAAAACATATTTATCATAAACTTCATAAAGAAAACTATTTGAACATACAATTTTTGTAGAAAATATGTATGGTAAAGTTTTTTTCTGTCTTTTCAAAAAATTTTTTGGTACACTAAACTACTTGAATAAATTTCATAAAATCCTATAGATGTAAAAAAGAATTTAATAAATGTTGAAACTAAAATACTTCAAACGAGTAATACCCTAATTAAAAAAGAAATCAATGAAATTTAAAGAATATAAAAGAAGAGGAATTCAGTCAACCTCAGTGCCACTTCGTCAGGAGAATGAACATTGAAATCAATTGAAATCTCTCTTCCATAAAAAATCCTTGCTTTTCTGTCTCCAGAATTAGCCGATGAACCATTTCAATGCATTTTAATTATAATAGTTCACCCGAAAATTCTGGCCCCTCCCCAAAGCAAAGAAAAAACAAAGTAAATTCTAATCAAAATTTTACCCTTAAACAAAGAGATCTCTATCCAGATTTACTTGAATTTTTTAATTAGGGTATTATTATTTGAAGTATTTTAGTTTTAGCATTTATTAAATACCTTTTTACATTTACAGGATTTTATGAAATTTATTACTTATGAATTCCAATATTTGGTCTGTGAAAAATTGGTTCTAAATTTCTTACTTTATGTCTTTACTGATAATTTTTCAACAGCTTAATGCGCGAAAATGCTAGGTATAATTTATATATATAATATATATATATATATATATAATATATTGCATAAATTTTCTTCCTCAAATGAATTAAATTTGTACTGTAGTTTGTTGCAGAGTCCTAGCGCGGTGTAACATAACAACGATAGAACTTGAAACACGTTAGCAGCGGATGAGAGGCATTGCTGTGAATTAAGACTTTATGGTTTTTGCGTCTGTAATAAAAGAAATTTTACTTATTTTTCAGGTTTCTGCAAATGGTTAACAAAAATCCGTCCCTTCAGTTGGATGTCAATTGCAAAGATCCTGTAGGGCGTTCAGCTACTTTGATGGCAATAGACAACGAAAATTTAGAAATGCTTGAATTACTGCTAGAATACGGGGTTGAAAGTCGTGACGCATTATTACATGCCATCAATGCAGAGTATGTGGAAGCCGTGGATCTGCTTTTAGAACACGAAGAAATTGTTCATAAAGAATCTGAACCTCACGTAAGTATTCGCTTTCAAATGAAGCATATATAATATCAAAACTTTCACTCAATAATGATAACTCAATAATAACTCATTAACTCAATTTCGAAAGCGCTACAAAAATTTAAAATTATTTTTCAAATAAAATAAGCTTAGAAAATCCATAGCTTCATAGGAAGTATCCTAGGAGTCGTCAGATATTTATCGGAGCAAGAAAGTGCAGTACCCTCGCCGGTACTCGAACTCCGTACCACCCGATGCTAGGTGGAAGGGTTTCCAATTACACCACGAACGCACGCTGTAAGTAGGAAGAAAAACACCTTACAAGGAACCAAAATTTGCTTTTTGTTTGTCCAAATTAAGTATGACTAGCATACCTTGAAAAATTTGAAGCCTTTATTACTTTCGAGAAAGGTTAACACACTGTTTTATGTGAGGAAATCCAAAGACAGATGAACTTCATCTCGCAAATAAGGGGGGGGGATAGTTCTGAAAATTAAGAAGAGCGTTCCGTAAATACTTGCAATAGATTTTCTTCTTCCTTACTGCGTGCCTTCGTAGTGTTATCGGAAACACGTCCTGCTAGCAATAGGGAGGTCCAGAAAGGGCCCTGCTGATTTTTCTTGTTTCCTGTTCCTATAAATACCTAATAATTCAACAAGTAACGCCTGAATTAAAATATGATAGACGATGTTCATCACCACCTGGATAAGGCTACTGGGGAGTACATAAGAAATTTTCTTCTCTTTCCGCTTCATGTGCCTTCGTAGTGTAATAGGAAACATATCGACTAGCAGTCAAGAGGTTCCAGAGTTCGAATTCCGGTAAGTGCTTTGCTGATTTTTCTTGTTCTTCGACGATAAATACCTAATTACTCTATAAAGGTTTATGTATAATATAACTATAATATAATATAACTCTACAAAGTCAGCAGATTTTTTTAAAAAAAGAGACGATGCTGCAACCCTTAACAAAATGTCTTTGTGGCCATCTCGAGAAGAATCCCATTCGCTTTGAGCTGTTGAAATCTCATTTCACTGATCAAAAATATATTAAAAACTGTCCTTCTGCACGTCCTTTATCTGCATTTGTATTGTACTGTTACTTTAAGACATTGCGCTTTTTCTTCAATTAACTTAGGACGCTCCACTTGTTGTCCATGATCGCACGATGTCTCGGTCTCCCCCTTTTTTCCACCTCTTCCGCTCCCTCTGGGATACCATGGGAAAAACTGCACACTGTGTGGTAGTCCGGCAATAAATTAATCAGTCAGTCAGTCACGTCCTTTAGACGTGCCTCAGCAGTTTTGAGTCACTTCTGCACTACTTCGTTTCGAGACTCGGGGGAAAAAAAAGAAATCACGCGCAAACATATCTACAGTGTGTAAAGGACATGGAAGAGTTCCAAAACTTCTTTTTGTTAATAAGTTGTTAATTTGGTGTCACATGAGGGCGAGCATTGTTACTGTGAACAAACGAACACAACCCCCCACCCCCACCCCCAAAAAGCATGGAGGTAGGAAGTAAGAAGGAGTCGCCCTAAACAAGTTTCTCCGTACCCTGCTCTGAAGCACCGGCGATCCCTACGTGGTGACCAAAACATTGGGTCATTTACCATTGAGTTCTATGGGATTTGACGCGTTCGGGTGTAAATATTTTGTAATTACGTCGCAAATATACATATAAATGTATATATTTTCTTTTTCTACAACACTTCAGAGTCCTAAGTATGTGAAAACAACATATTTTTAAACAACATTTCATTCTGAACGGAATTAAATGCTATACTTTTCACAGGACAGTTTTCTCATAATGGTTTAATTTGAATGAAATATTTCACAAGTTTTCGTTAATTACATTAGAAAAAAAAATTAAGGTAATTCGATTTTATTCGGTTAAGGTACAAAAATTAAGATCAGTGTTTATTGTATTATTAATATTAAAATTATGCATTATTTCTTTTCTATTTATAGAGCTTCTTCCTAAAATACTTTCTTAAATACGACATGATTTTTTGGCTTCTTTTAAATCGAAAATTGTAAGTCAATTTATAATTAATGCTCTATTCGGTTCATTTTAAATTAGAGAATTATTAGGAATTAGCGAAATACTTTAAATAAGTATTTCGCTAATTCCTAATAATTAAATAGGTATTAAATAGTATTTGACTTCTCTGAACATTTCTGAAAGGGAATAAAAAAAAGTTTTTTTTTTTTTTTAAACATTATTTAAAATTTGTAACTGAGTTATTATAAAATGCAAGGGAATAATTCTTTTAATTATACTTATCAGATTTTCTTTTTTTTTCTTTTTTTCTTTTTTTTTTTTTTTACCCTTAATTTCAACAATAAATATTCTAAAACTCTTTATTACATTCCTTAAGTGCGCATCTCATAGAATTTGCTTTACAATGCTTTTAACAGATTACTTTCCAGTACGAACAATTCTTGCTTAAATAGTTTTAAACGTATTGTCAACAGGATTTCAATTTATGTTTACAATTCAATATTAAGGTTATTATATATTTAGATAACATTTATAATCATTATAAATTAGATCATTTAATCATTAGATTTCTTTCACAGTACTTTCCAGTTGTTATAAGTGAATAAATTCTTCATTTCAAATACATTTATAAATAATTTAATGAATATTAAGTATTTGTCAAAGGCAGATACATGCTTTTGCAAGCACATGCATAAATACCCGTATAAATAATTTATCATTTTTGGCATGTGCAAATCTTTAATTTCTGTGCATTCACTATATTTTTCGTGTAAAGTAATTTACGCTAATTAGCATACCCCCGAAAGTTTTACATAAAAAATATATATGAATAATTTGAATGAAAACTATAAGTATTATTTTTAATACCCACTCAAAGGTCAGTTTTTTCTTCAAAATTCCTCCACGATGCATCTCTCTCTTTAGGCAGATAGCCATTGCATGCGTTTACTCTATTTAATAAAACTTAATCTGACCTATGTGCCTAATTACAAATATTTTAACATACATATTTTATATTTAAATTTAGCCATCAAGTTTCAAACTTTTCAAATCTTCTAGAAATAAATTTTGGCAGATCTCTTTTAGCAATTTCTTCAAATCTATATTTTTGTAGTACAACAGCTTAGAATTTTATAAACAAATTCATAATCAAAATCGCTGTTGTTAGTTATCGAAAAATAACCAAGATGTGATTTTGCGTAAATGTCAGTAAACTATACAAATTGCTATTATCCATCACACTATGAATTTTCTTTCATGCGAGAGTGTCCTTTTTCGATTTCTATGGAACTGTCGTGTGTCGAAATACTATCAGAATCTTGTCAAGCGAGCTTCTGAATGTAAACAAAGAACGCCCCGTCTGGTGACCCAAGCTTCAAAGCAGTGCTTCACTTCTAGCGCGGAATGGCCCCTCCTCCCTTTCCTACCTCCATGCCAAAAAGAGAGGGAGAGAGAAAGCTGTTTTGTAGAACTATTCATACTTTCGTCGGTCGCCTGAAGGCAAATGCTTTCTAACGTGGCTGTTACTAAATTCGGGTGATTTGTTTGTTGGACGCAATAGTTCATAGTACAAGACAGCAGTTGGATGAACATAATTTTTGATTCAATTTGCATTCGCATAACTCCTATACATCCATGTCAAACTCTTTTGAAGAGGTCTCGTACACGAATCGAATATAATGATATACAAACCATAATTAAAGCATTTCGAGAGTCTACCACATGTTCTAGAATTAAGAGATAGGCAAAGATCGAAAATCAATTAGTAAACATTTACGTGCATGAAGAATTAAAATACGGAAATAAAAAACAAGAAACATGGGAGCAAAAATTATTTATGTTAAGTTTTATCATTGGTAAAATACGTGAAAAATTTTTAGAACTAATGTTTGCAATCTATTTCAACCAGGGGTAACAGAACCCGCGGATCATGAGGGTTTTATACTTTTACGAGCATCGAGAGGTATTTTATCACTTGACATTACATCAAAATATAACTTGATAAGACATATATAATTTAATGCAAATAACTGCATTTCTCTCAAATAATAGTTCTAAAACTTTATATCGATGAAAGCTCATTTAATAATTAGGAAATAAAACAGAGCACTGCTGAAACGTTATTTCAAAACTCATACTGCAAGAACGTAATTATAGCAGCGGAACTCTTCACTTTAAGGATACCTCATCATTTCATGTTTGTGCATAATATGAGCAGATGAGCAAAGACGAGATGCTCTCTAACTGACCTAAAGTTTAGAGATGAGAAAAACCGTTCTTTTATGTGATCGGGTCAGAATGGTTCGCTCAATGAACTGAAAAGTTTCCTTTTAAGACTCCCGTTCAACATTGAAGAAAAAGATCGGAAAAAGAAGAATGAATCAAGAACGGCTAGCTAGATAGGAGCGAAGAGCGAAAAGAATCGAACGAACAGTGGGATCTGAGGATAACACTGTCATACTTCTAACAAAGGTTCTACGAGAACTGTAAAAAGAGCTACCATTCCGTTTAGTGGAATTACTGTTCACTCAATCAGTAAAGTTCACTCAATCAGTAAAGTGAATCAGTAAAGTGAACTAATGTAACGAATTTTTAGTTGAATCAGTTCCACAGCAAATCGTCCAACTAAAGTCCAATTAAACAAGTCAATATACGGCTCGGCACAAGGGTCGGAGCTATATGTTAGTGTAGTTAGCATATCACCTGCCACAAACATAAGGTGTGGTGTATTTAATTATGGCAAAGCACACTAGGGCTATCTGCCTAAGAGGAGGGATGCCTTTCGTGGAGGACTTGCTAAGGGAAACTGGCTCGTATACACGTTACACATGGGGAAAACCACGAAAACACCCATGCAGCCAGCCCGTTCGCGGGATTCGAACCTCGGACCGAACTACCAGTGTTCAGCGACTTTACCGCTCGGCCGCTGGTGGGCCCGCCACAAAGATAAGAGCCACATGCTAACTCAATACCACTTTAGGGATACAAATAGCAAGCATAATCTCAGAAACAGAACGGAGCACAACGGTTTCTACAATCCGTAGTTTATCATGTAGTCTACAGGCGGGGATTTATCCATCTGAACTCCTATGTGAATACGTGAAAATTAGTGGGAGTTTCTAGGACACTGTTTAACCATCGTGAAATGCAGCACCTCGTTTACAGAGCGGATCACTTTCCGTAAAGCTGCACTACCTGTTTAATCTGGCTCGATTACTGGGCAGACACCACTGCAGAAAGTCGTGCATTCTTCATTGGCGAGCCACAGTTCGCAATGGAAGCCAAGGTCCGTTTTTACGTGTCTGGAAACGGGCCTGCGTGTGAATAAATTGCGTAACTGCGGAACACTACAAATCGCTCATACGGAAAATTATTGTTCGGGTTGGTTGGTTTATTTGATAGTGAGAAAACAAACGCGGTTCAACTGTTTAAGTAAATGGATGCCTTCGTGAAGCATTATCAAAGAGAAACTGTTTCATATTTGTTACACACGAAGAAAAACATGAAAACACCCATGCAGACAACCCGTTCACAAGATTCGAACTTGGATTGAACTATAAGCGTTCACTGGTTTTAACATTTCTTCAATGGTAGACATGAATGGCTGGGAACCATGTCCGACAACAGCCAGATACTTCTGGTAGTCACCGTACCCCATTACCACAACACAATATATCGATGACATTATGTTACCAGGTTTATTGCTATTCTTTATTGTAATACTCTTAACGCATTAATTGCGGAACACTACAAATCGCTCATACGGAAAATGATTGTTTGGGTTGGTTGGTTTATTTGATAGTGACAAAACAAACGCAGTTTAACTGTTTAAGTAAATGGATGCCTTCGTGAAGCATTATCAAAGAAAAACTGTTTCATATTTGTTACACACGGAGAAAAACATGAAAACACCCATGCAGACAACCCGTTCACAAGATTCGAACTTGGGTTGAACTATAAGCGTTCACTGGTTTTAACATTTCTTCAATGGTAGACATGAATGGCTGGGAACCATGTCCGACAACAGCCAGATACTTCTGGTAGTCACCGTACCCCATTACCACAACACAATATATCGATGACATTATGTTACCAGGTTTATTGCTATTCTTTATTGTAATACTCTTAACGCATTAATTGCGGAACACTACAAATCGCTCATACGGAAAATGATTGTTTGGGTTGGTTGGTTTATTTGATAGTGACAAAACAAACGCAGTTTAACTGTTTAAGTAAATGGATGCCTTCGTGAAGCATTATCAAAGAAAAACTGTTTCATATTTGTTACACACGGAGAAAAACATGAAAACACCCATGCAGACAACCCGTTCACAAGATTCGAACTTGGGTTGAACTATAAGCGTTCACTGGTTTTAACATTTCTTCAATGGTAGACATGAATGGCTGGGAACCATGTCCGACAACAGCCAGATACTTCTGGTAGTCACCGTACCCCATTTGCACAACACAATATAGCGATGACATTATGTTACCAGGTTTATTGCTATTCTTTATTGTAATACACTTAACACATTTTTTACAAGGCAATAATCGACCACACAGCCGCAGGATTTATCCCAAGGGTGCCTTTAAAATGTGAAAATCCTTTCACGGCTAATTCAGGTGCTCGACATCTGTTTCACACATAATAGCATGCACCTTCTTCATATAGAATTCGACACACTGGACAACTATTTAGTCAATAAATCACAAGTTATACTTCAGGATACTACCCGCAAAACCGTACACTTCTGTATGCAATTGACTCAAATAAGGTGTGAACAGTACAAAGAGCTGACTGCTTCCACTTTGTACTTTAAGTATTTTATGCGCATAAACGGATCCCGGCTGCGGAATTGTAATGATTTAAGCTGAGGTTAGTGCAAACAAATGCTTACCAGTTTCCAACAGGATTAGATGTTTTTTACCTTAAATGAAAAAAACCCTTAAATAGAAGTATAAATTTCCTTAACGTAAAACCTTTCCTTACGTTAAGGAAGTTTATACTTAAATAGAAGTATAAATTTCCTTAACGTAAAACCTTTCCTTACGTTAAGGAAGTTTATACTTCTATTTAATGCTTTATATAGCACACCAACAACAAGCCAAAAAAAGAAGTTATTGGTTATCTATCGCTATTTAATAATCCAAGAATAGGAAAAATCAAAGTGGGTGTTTATTCTGAAAAAATAGACGCATTACCTCATTAAGTTAAAAAAAGAATCAGTTATGATGAGGTTCACAGAAATTTACTTCGAATTTATTTATTCTGAGACTGGAAGAAAATGAGTTATGATGAGGTTCACTCATCGAATTTATTTATTCTGAAATTTTCAGAGCTGGGAAAAAGTGGATCGAGACATTTCAACATTCACCCCGGAAATTACACCACTGATACTTGCTGCTCATAAAGATAACTATGAAATACTGAAAATCCTTTTGGATCGAGGTGCCACACTCCCTATGCCACACGATGTACGTTGTCGCTGTCGAGACTGCGTCCTAGCAATGGAAGAGGACTGTCTTTGCCACTCTAGGTCAAGGATTAATGCATACAGAGCCTTGTCATCCCCGTCCTTGATATGCTTGTCCTCCATCGATCCTATACTTACCGCTTTCGAGCTTTCTTGGGAATTGAGAAGACTGAGTATGGCTGAGAACGAATTCAAAGAAGATTACGTGGTAAGTAGCTTCTTACTAAATAAGAAATATAACAAAATCTATTTTTAGTAAATTAAATAAAGTTATTTACTGCTTACTCCCAGGGGCATAGCTAGAGGGGACCAAGAGGAAACATCTGTCCCTGTGCGCAGCCTCCAGGGGGCGCCGAACTAATATAACGAATTTTTAGAATGAAATGTTTTCCATTCTTGGCAAACAAGAGGGGCGCGAGATCATCAATTGTCCATGGGCACTGAAAACCCTAACTGCAGCTCTCTCACTCCGATGTCAATAAAAAAATAAAACGTACTTAAAAGATAATTTCAAATTTATTTGAAAAACAAGTACGGCATTATGTAAACGTATGAACCTATGCCTTGGGAAAAAAAAGATCAGCCGCTAAATTACAATAAGAAGGCTGTAAAACAAAAAAATAGCACCTTGAATGCCAAATGATCCTCTACCTGGCGAGTACAACGACGAAACCGCCAAACCATTAAACGAGGATTGTGCAGCCTCCTATATTTTCAGTTTCATTATACCTGTAAACTAAGCGATGTGATTAAAATCTACTATTTTTACATTAGGTAGTTTCGAAAGTTAACTTTTCAGCTATTACGGCCACTGCATGCCATAAATATATATACTATATACACAAATTTTCATAGATTTCCTGACAGTACTACAATATTCTAATATTTCATAAAATATATCAAATTGAAAAGTCCGAGAATGATATGCTTTTAGCCTCCTACAAATTTCTCTTAATGATTTCATGTAACTGTTTAGGTGCAATTTAACATCTAAGTTTCCCCTTTATTCGGATTTATTCTAATGTTTTTAAAAATAGCTTCATATTCCATCATTACCGTTTGAAAACCTTTCCTTGTCAGCAAAATATTACCATGACTTCTGAAATTATTATACCTTCTCATAAAAAAAAACAGAGAAACAAAAGTATGATATTAGTTAAAATTAGCTTGTGAAGCTCTGTAAATCATCCATAATAACTCATGAAGAATTTTGATTCCTTTGAAGTGAAATTCCTGGGAAGATTTGGATTATGGGTTTTGAGTTTTGCTTTACTTCGAATGGCGTCACTACTTCACTGAAAAGACTTCCCAAACGTTTCATTAAATTTCAGATATATACACTAGTGGGCAAAACTTTAGCAACTTACAATAAAAAGTCAACTAGAAGACGGGAAATTCATACTACAGAGACACAATGTAGTGCTTAATGGACGGGGAAAGTATAGTAGGAAAAATATGAATAACGCTCATACCGAACGCAATAAACAGAAAAAGACTTTATTGGCAGAATGGAGTTGGTACAAAAATCTGTCTGGCCAGGAGGGAGAACAGCAAACCAAAGACCCTTAGGAAGGCTCATTTTTGTAACCTCAGTAACCTTCCTTAACTGCAATGAATGCGTTGCACCGTCTATCTATACTCAACGCCAAATTATCTAACAGTTCTAGAAATAAGAGTTCCTTTTCTTCAAGGAGCGTATTTTTTGAGTTATCTGGTGTTCTCTGGACGGTGCGATCGTGCGGCTGAGCGTCTTCCTAAAGTACCCCACACATGTTCGGTGAGATTTAATCACAGAAGCACGCTGGCCAATCTATGGTAAGTGAACGTTTGTAGAAAATGTGCAACTCCGTCCGTCCGTTCATCCTAATGTCTACCCATACCAGCACTTCGGGACCACCCCAATGGTCTCGTTCCCTGATGTTAGTGGGATGAAATCGTGTCCCTACCTCTCTACATATCAACTTCGGCCCAGACTCGTTTGTCTGACTGAAATGTCTCTCATTGGTAAAGAGCACGTGACTCCACGTGTCCAGACTTTGTGTTCTCTACACCATTGTAAATGGCGTTGTAATGGCCCCATTGTAAATGGCTGGTGTCAGTCAATGGCATGTAGCCTTCAGAAAGCTGGGCGAATAGGCCACCTTTATGAAACCGTCTGGCCGCAGTAAACTAGGACACCTGACGTCCGGTTGCCGTGCGCAACTGCTGAGCAATGCTGCTCACGGTCTGGTTTCGATCTCTTTACGCTTGCAAGGCAATATATCGGTCATCAGTCCCTGTCGTTTACCTTGGTTGACCCCTATCAACATTTATTACAGCGGTGCCTCTAATTTGAAAGGCTTTTCAAGCTGGTAAAACAACACTTTTATCAATTCCAAACTCCTGGGTGACAAACGTCGATCTACGCCCCTTCTCAAGCTTACTAGCCATTTCACCACGTGTAAAGGTGTCCTGATGTTTTCTTATATCTATGCGGCAGATATTTCTTATATCTATGCGGCAGATATTTCTTATATCACGGCTGCAGAAGAATGCCAAGAAATGTGCCTCCCTTTCTTCTATTAAGTTGCTTTGTACTGCGCGCGCTGACTCTTCGCATTTCGCGCGCCCTGACATACCCCCTGACGTCATGCTGCTGAAATTGCATATGCATCACTTTTCTACCGAGTACTAATCGCCAAAGCCCTTTTAAATAAGTTCATGGCTGTATGTTGAAAAATGAATTTGTTGCTTGAGTTTTGCATACTTTGAAATTAAGTGGTTAATAAAACTAGTATTTATGCTTCACTTTTGTTACGTCTCGCCTATCAGTTCCTTATGTGTCTGTTTATATTAAAGTAAAATTATTGTCATAGTTGAATTTTAATTTGTGACTCAGCTATAATTATTTACAAGCGTCAAAATAATTCATTTCGCCAAATACAGTTAACGTGAAGTATATAGCAGTTTTGATCATTTTACTATTGCCTTTCAGCTGTGATATGCTGGGACATTTAACTGGTAATTAGCATATTGATTGTCACAAGCTCTTTTCTTTTGCTTAAAAATAGCTGCAACATAAAAGATGATTTTTGGAATCATTAAAGATTAAATTTGCATCATTTCTGTTTAGTTTCTTTATCTTACCTATCGAATTAAAATGCACTAACCACATGAATATACATCTTTTTACATAACATATATAAAATTTTGAGCAGACATTGACTGCAAAATGATATTTTAATACCTACAAGTAACAGATGTAGCGAATGGAATAATTAAAAGTATAAATGCATGCAATTAAAATTTCGCATGTAATCTCTGCTCCTATGAAATTTTGTATTTTCCTAGAATTAATCATTTAAGTATTCGGAAAATAACATGTTGAGGATCTGGATACTTGGAAAATAGAACTCTGCGGCTAAATATTATTAATTTTTACTTTTAAATAGCCTATCAGTAGCGATTCAAAAGCTATTAATTTTTCAGCTCTCATCTATTTCTAAATGAATATTCATTTGTATTTTTTTTTTTTTTTTTTTTTTTTTTTTTTTTTTTTTTTTTTTGCTCAAGAACATTGAGCATTTAAGATAAAAAGCCTTTCCTTTTAAACAGCTTTCATGGCAGTTTTCTTAATTCCTTTTATTTTGCATTTATAAACTTCTTCCTCAAAATTCTTATTTCCTGTCTTATTTCCCTTAATAAATACGCATAATTTTTGGAATTTATAAGTTATGGAATTGAATATTAAAGAAAAATGAAGCTCATTATGTAACTTTTACCAATATTTTTCTTTGTAATTCATCTACTGCATAGAATTATGTGATATACAAAACAGCATACATAGACTAAAAGGTAAGAGAAAAACATCGGCACATGAGTCATTTTTTAACTGCAAGGACAGAGAGGTACGAATTCCTTTCAGACTGCTTAAATAAATTACCAAAAGCAAGCTGCGAAAGACACCTCGAATATCGAAATTATTAAATAGGTCTTAAATAAAAGAAAGGACAGAGGTGCTTCAAGTATATAAGAATATATAATTTTAACGAATGTTTAGTAACTAAAAATAAAATACTTTTTAGTAATATTGCCCTTATTATAACTTTGTTCTCATGAACGTTTAATTTATTTTATTAATGCAGAAACTCCGTTCACGCTGCCAAGATTTTGCAACCGCTTTATTGGACCATGCGAGGAGTTCACGGGAACTGGAGATGGTGCTCAATTATGATCCCACACGACCACCTTACCAGCATGGAGATCATATGCCCCTGGCTAGACTAGAAATGGCTATCAAATACAAACAAAAAAAGGTAATATTTAAGTATATTAGCAATTTTTATTTAAAATAATTCATAGAATTTCCAAAAATGTTTTTTATTTCTGTTCCTATTAATTCCTTATTTTCATTTCTAGTTCATAGCTCATCCAAATGTCCAGCAACTACTAAGTACCTTGTGGTATGATGGATTACCTGGTTTTCGGAGACAAAATCCGGTGTACCAGCTTTGGGATATTATAAAAATAGGAGTGCTCTTCCCATTTTATTCCATCATGTACATGTTATTCCCAAATACCGAGAGAGGTCGACTAGTTCGAAAACCATTTTTTAAATTCATCATACATTCTTTCTCCTATCTTTTCTTCCTACGTAAGTAAATGTTATATTTTTTGTTTTACCCAGTTAAATGCCTGTTGTTACTCAGATATGAATATTAAGAAGCCAAAATTTGAACATGTATTTGAAAACAGACGAATAAATGCGTTTTCTGGTGACTAAGTGCGCACGTGAATGTACTGTTGAATAAAGTATTGAATAATTACGTATTAGAATGCAGCAAAATGTATTAAAACTACTTGCAGATTTACGCATTCGTATTTACATATGCTGCATAAAGAGCATATATTTGCCAAATATAAGGCTATATTTTTTATCTTTCATTTCAGTGCTCTTGATACTGGCATCACAAAGAGTAGAAACACTGGTGGCTCAGTGGTTTGGGCGGAAAGATGCAAATGGATTCAAACGAAGTTTTAAGAAAGCAAAGAGGCCAACCGCCAACGATTCTAGAGACAACGATATTATTATATATAGTCGGTAAGTTATACAACTTCATATCTAGGACTAATTAATTTTTTTTAAGTTAGAAAAAGGGAAAAATGAAATTAATACCTAGCAAGTTACAGTGTAAAGACATTAGGTAATTTGGAAGTAGAAAAGATGAAAAAGGAGCAACCGCCTTCGCCGGGAATCGAACCGCGGACCTCTCAATTACGCACTGAGCGTGCAGACCACCACACCACGAAGACTCGCTGAGAAATACCTTATAACAGTAGTATAGTAATAGTAACAGTATTAAATGCATTTTAACAACAGGAAAGGGAACATGACTATAACTGTATAAAATGTTAATTGTTGGAAGCAAACCAAATCAGATGATTTTTTATTCAAAGAGTATTCATTAAGAGGACTTTTAGTACTAAAAGTTTTAGATTATCGAATCTCATTTCCTTCTAAAATGTGCAGTATCGCTCTAATGGTGTTTATTTCAATGAATAGTAATAAAAATTCAACTTTAAAAAAAAATTGTAAAGGTTTTTGGTTTGTATAATTACAAAACAATATGGAAATTCGTTCAAAGTTTTCAGACAGGAGAATTATAGAAATTTAACGAACAGTGAAATTTTATTAATGAGATAGAGATGCCGTGCAAATTTTAGATACTGTTTATGGTTTAATATTGCATTTGCAAAGCCAGTCTATATTTTTAAGTGTTCCAGCTCTCATTTGTTAATTTAATAATGCTAATGCGAGTAGCTTACTTGCCACCAAATCAGAATTTGAAAAAACAAACTTCATACAAAGTATTGTAAGGCTCAATGTATACTGAACCTTTAATAAACTTGCAAACTTACTGAATTGTAATTGAACAAGAACAAAAGTTTACACGATAATAAATATTAGGGATGCATCTTAATAGATTATGGCAAATTATTAACAGTAGTCCATTGACATATAATGATCGAATATGCTTTTTTCTCGATTATTTCTCACCCGCGGTAATTATTATTGATATCAACGGGATTCATCACGCTTTCGTTTCTCTTTCTCTTTTGGAAGCACAATTGGATTAATTCTCCAGATAAGGATCAATAAAGAACTTTCATGGCTTCATCGTCTTGTCAACTAAAGCGATATAACTAATAGAATTTCAGGAAAAGTAAAGGTTTGGTTTGGTTTGGTTTATGTGATTATGGCAAAGCCTCGAGGGCTATCTGCATAATAGGAAGTAAAAGTAAAGGAATTAAGTTATTATACATATATATAGGTACTTTTGCATAAATCTTTCCACGTGTTTCAACAAAGAAATTATATTCTTATTAGTTATTAATCCTTTTAGACATCATTAAAGCTTCGATTAGGAAGAAACAAATTCATTTTGAGTGAAACGTAATCAATTCGAATTATTTTGGAAACTTTTCACTATATAGCATAAAGGAAGAATTGCATTTTATTCATTTGTGAGTATATGAAAACAAAAAATTTTACTGTTTGAGAATGGTTACTACAACTGAGAAACAAACTAAAAGTCACTGTATGGCAAAAGCGTCAAATGACCAAAATTTGGGAGAATTTTGAAAGAGAAAATTATCGACGTCAAAAATGCCTTTCTTTCTTCAATGCTCTCATTCCTAGATTTTAAATGGGACCTGAAGATGAATTGGTACTTCAGCTGGTCTAATACAGTCTAGTTAGCATTTAATTCTTCATGTTTTTGAAGAATCGTATGGCTGGGTTTATGCGGAAATTTAAATTCAGCTCATTTCAGTGAAATCTTAAATTTAGCTCATACACGGATTTTCAATTTGGCTGAACTTTCCCAGCAAAATCTTTTCTCTTGGCTTATGCGTGAATTGGTTTATATTCGGAAATATGCGATATGCATTATTTATTGTTTCAAGTAGGATATAGGGAAAATAAGAAGTGTCTTAGCATTATTCAGGTATAAATATGGGAAAATAAAATAAATATGTTAAAAGAATAAAATAAAGAAAAGTGTCTAAAAAAATCATCTAAATTTGCCATCAAGTCTGGGTTTCATTCCCGTTATTATAATTGAAAAGATTCAAATTACACAGATATTTATCAAACATTTAAAATATAATAATAAATAAATAAACAACCAACATAAGAAATATTTAAAAAAATTTTTAAAAAGTTACCTTTCTTCACTCCGAGGTTTCTTTCTTTCTTTCTTTTTTTTTTTTTTTAATTTATGACGATCATTTCGAGTTTTAGGATCTTTTCTTGTGGCAGGGCAGTTCGGATCTGTTCCTGAAGAGCCGTATTTATACAGCTTTCATTAACTAAACTTTTATAACTATTAATTTTAGTTTGTGTTTTCATAAACGCTCATTCATTAGGATGAGATTTACATCATTAAAGAAAGAAAGAAAACAAAGTATTTTAAATTATAAGCTAATATATTTATTCTAAGTGACAAAACAGGTAGTTAAAACAGAATCATCTAAAACAGCTATAGGGTTATTATTATTATTTTAATAAACTAATTATTATGATTTAAATCTTTACTAGACCTTCTTCTTTTCCGTTCCCTCTCCAGAAATGTAAATCAGTTAGAGAGTATTTAAACTGAGATTTTTAACCGATGAGCATGAGACGTGCGTTTATGTTCAAGTTCTAATTTTAATAAAAAGGTTGTTTTAACCTTTTCCACCCTCTGTATTTCGTTTCAGCTACAGCTATAATTCACTTAATATTTGTTGGAATTTCGATGCCAGTTTATGCTACCAAAGAATGTCAAACTCTATACAGTGATGGTAAATATCTTTACATTTAAACAGCATATGGCTCCATTTGATTTTCCTTCATTTAATTTAATTTCTTTCCAACTATTTTTTTCATTCTTCCTGTATTTCGTCTGTTTTCCTCTGTACTGCCAGTTTAGACAAACATAACAATATAGAAAGGGAAAATGATACGACTCCTTTATTTACTACGTTATCTTCTTAAGTATTCGGTATCCATGAATCAAATTAGTATTTTAAAAAGACGTTTATATTTCTGAGATGATACTTGACTAATTTAATTAGCGGAAGACAGCAATTCATAATCAGTCATGCTTCATTAGAAAAATTAAATTAAGATTGTTGGAAGGAATACTATAGAGTCACAGAAAAAAAAATTCCCTAATTATTAAAAAAAAAAAAAAATATTACCATAAAACTATTAAACACATCGAAAGAATTCAAATGTTGAAATGCTGCGAAATAACAGAAAGCATCGAGTAAAGTCATGTACGAGCAGTTTCTAAACACTTAGATCAAGAAGGTGGACTGATTTAACTTCGCTTTCTTGGAAGGCTTCCATCTCATCCCTCACCGCACGCAATTTCCGAGATTACAGTCTTAATATGCTGGAGGATATTCTTGCAGGAATAAATCAAGAGTACTATGTATGAGGAATAGATTCATGATCTGCAACACCTAGAAGAAAGAACAGCAGCAGCATTGCAAATGTAATGTCATATACTCAACAAATTTCGAACGAGAGGAATAAATTTTTGAAATTTACTGTGTGACATTTCGAGCAAATACTGAAACTTACTAAAGTAAGTCAGAACCTCTTCATAATGGTGCATCGTCATAAAGGTGCGTGGACTTTTATTCAAGTCCACTGTTCTCCAAGAGCGGAAATTTCCATAAGAGGACTCGACATAAAGGTGCCTTCACCCTTAAACAGATCGGTTTCAAACCTGAAGAAGGTAATCTACATAAAGGTGAGGGTGCGTCGCTTTGCAAGTAAGATTTGATTAATACAGCAAAAGAAAATTCTACTTGCATATCCCGAGCAGTGCTCCCACCCTATGAAGGTTGCCTTCTTCGAGTTAGTTCAAATCTGATCTTCATAAGAGTGCGGACATGACACCTTTATGTCGGAACAATATTGCCAAGGTTCCTAACTTGTCTAGCAGTGATCAGTTTGTATATAGGTGTTAGCATCTTTATGAGAAAACACCGTGACGCAAATTCCGGAACTATCCTAGCAATTAAAAATTACAGCCATTTCGATATTTAGTAGTATTTAAACAGTACGTTTTCATAATCTGAATAATCGATTCCACTGGCCCTACTAGCTAATTCACTAATCGAGGACCTTTCTAATATTTTGTCGTCTGTAAAACAAGGAGGAGCTGCAAACACTGCCCCGCTATAGAGGTACTGACACCTGTATGTAAGTCAGTCATTACTTCCTAAAAGAGACACATTCGCAATGGCGCCATCTAATTTATGAAGATGAGTTTTTAAGTTGAAGAAAGCAACCTTCATAAAGGTGATCACACCTTTATGCGGGGGATTGGTATGCGGTTTGGGTTCTTATTTATTTTATTAGCCAGGGTAGCAAACCAAGAGCCTACTTTCACAGCGGTGCCCTTCCATAAAGATACAAGCACCTTTATGAAGATTGCTTTCATATGACGAAATATAATGAAAAACTGATCTTCATAAGGATGCAATGACATATGTGAGGTTTCTGTCTTGCCGAACAGTAGCCGATTTGCAAGAAGTAACTAGAACTTTTATGACGCAACACCGTTATGAAAGAGTTTTACGAGCTAGAAATCAGCTATGTAACTGGAAGTAGTCTAATTATTATTCGGTGGAAAGAAGGAGAAAAGATCGGCTATAGGATGAGAAACGATTGCACTTTCAAAATTTATCAAATGAAGTCAAATATAGATTTCAAAACACAAAATTGAGACAACAAAAATTCAAAATTTTTGAACATTTTGCGCCATAATAGCTAACATATGTTATTAATCAAATATATATATAATATTAAAAATCTATTTATTTTGTTATCTGAACTTGATTTTCAGCTCATATATGGCAAGAAACAAGAGAACTGTGGACGAAAGGTTTAGTTCTATACTTTCATAATTTATGGAACATCATTGATTTCACAAGGAACAGTCTCTATGTTGGAACAGCCGGTTTAAGAGTTTTAGCGTATTTTCAGGTAAGAAAGTGTCTTCCTTTCGCTTCATTTATAACTCTAGTAATTAGCTTATAATAATAATAATAATTTTACTTTGAAAGAAAAGGTCATCTTGTACTACAAAGCATGCATTGGTACTGTGGCATGTAATATTGATAAGCCCAGATTATTAACACGATTTTATAAATTACTTGAATTCAAATTAGTAAACTTAGTAGTTAATTCAAAATAATAAGAGTAACTGATTCCTTTCACTTCTCATAATGAAATTATACACCACCATTTAATCCTTCAATCATTTTACACAAGCGACGACGTAATGTAAATTAAAGATGGCAAATATTTGAAAATTATAAACATTAATTAGGGATGTTATTATGAAATATTTGCATAAATTACGTATAGGCAAACTTAATTTTGAAAATTACCGAATTTGGGTTACTACAGCCTTAAATTCAAATACGACTCCCAATTTTAGTTTGCAACACTGTAAAGCATGCGAAATATATTAGACTATTACAATAATTAATATTTAATATAAATCACATTCTCCATTTGCTTCTCCTACTGATTTTCAAATACTTCAGATATGCATTATTCTTTTACTCTTTTAGTCACAAAATCCTTATTTGAAAACAACTACATATCAGTAAAGTGAAACTGAAGGTAAAGCGAAACTTCTCGAATCATCAGTAAATGCTTTATTTAGTACAGCATATGAATTAACTAATTCCCTAATTTACATAGAATTTGTTAAATATACAAGGTGTTTCGAAAAGACTGCAAGGGCTAACCTCTTGAATGGTTATTTGCAGACTCTTGGTTCTAATTCTAAAATGAAGGATTGAAGGTTTAACTTTCAGGGTACGACAATTTTGGTCACATAATAGCTTTAAGAGAAAAGACACTAAAGTTACATTTTTATAACGGCCCTGTGAAGAAAAATATTACTAAGGCTTCACTTACTGTACCTTTAACTATTAGTTTATTGGGAGGCGGATTCATCTTACTTAATTGGTATTAATTTACTTTATTGGAAAACGTCTCGTTGAACAGCTGCAGTTATTTTCCTGTATCTAAGCTACCAACTTAAACTCGGCATGATAATGTTTAACTACAAAATAGAAGTACGATGCTTGATCTTAGGCCCACGTCGTAGTATTTGGAATAAAATATTTCTGTTATCAAAACAGGCAATCGGGTGAATATATCTATAGAAATTTGTAATTTACAGCTATTTTAATGTAATTAGTACAGTTTATTGAGAGAATTAAAATTGCATAATTTTTTAGAGTTACAAAAACAAAGTTTGTTGCTTTCCGAACATGCATGAAAAGGCTATTTTAAAGTCTATCATATATATATTAAATATAATACCTTTATTTTAGTTTGTCAAAGTATAAATGTATTGCAGGCGCAAGCCGAGATTTCTGAAAACCCAATGGCAGTTTACATTCCAAGAGAAGCTTGGAATGCATATGATCCGATGCTGATTGCTGATGGTCTTTTTGCAGCTGGGAATATTTTTGCGTAAGTAATTTTTCTCAACTGTATCTGCTGTTGATTATTATTGAATTTTTCTTCTACAATCATTAAGGTAATAATTTATAGTTTTAATAATGCTGAGTTTTCTTGTACTTATAATCTGCTGTTTGAACGTATATCTTTTGTTTTTGAGTATAATTTACTTGAAAACACTAATAATACTAGGAAAATTGCAGAATTTCATAACTGAAGTTTCCATTTCTTCACAGAGCCTTAAAATTGGTTCACATCTTTTCCATCAATCCTTACCTTGGGCCGCTTCAGATATCATTGGGAAGAATGGTGATCGATATTATCAAGTTCTTTTTCATTTATGCCTTGGTATTATTTGCTTTTGCTTGCGGCTTAAACCAGTTACTTTGGTACTATGCTGATATGGAAAAACAGCACTGTTTCAGTGGACCAGGAGGCACTGAAAATTGGACTCATCAAAGAGACTCTTGCTTAGCATGGAGAAGATTTTCGAAGTGAGTAACTACTGTAAGAGGCAAAACTTTTAGCATCGTAGCGTAAAATTTTAGCATCTACTTAATTTCTAATTTATGCTGTTAGCTGTAAAGTAACTATATCTTTCAGTTAGTCGGCAAGTAGTAAAGTTGCCGTAAAACTTGCCGTTTCAGTTACGTTATTGCCCGTACCGTAATTCATTAACTTGAACAATGCACAGCAAAATAAAATCCAACCAAAACGTTTTACTTGTCTCTGTTACTTGCAGAACTGCAGTAACTGAAATGTAGCTTTAAAAGACCACTGCAGTTTGCAGGATCGTAACTCAAAACTGCAGCTTGATAGCAATACTCATATTACATTAACAGAAAACGATATGTAACTTAAAGTTACGAGTGCTTTAACTAAACACTTTTACCAACTCAAGTTTCATTTACCACTGGTAACTTAAATACCATAACGCTTACAGGTAATGCGACTCCCTCTGGTTAACTATTCTCTTCGCTTAAGGTTAGCACCAGAGCAGAAAACTTGCCGTAAAAGACTGCCACAGTAGGTCAGTTTCGCCAACTAGTGTTCTTTCTATTAGTGTCTCGTGACTTCCATTCCATCTTCTCCAAATACCCGTTAAATTTGTTTCTTCTGATCACGGTTGAATTGAGACGGACAGCTATAGGAAAGCAAAATTTAAAACAAAAGCTGGTTAATGAAATTTAAATCTTATAAAATAAAATGTAAGGAACAGTTTATTAAATCTTTACTTAAACAAAATAATCAAAGATTACGTATTTAAAGGTTGTAGATTTTGCAATAGCTTATATCAGAAACAAATAAATTATTTACTAGAATAAATTCTATTCCGATGACAGAAACAAGTACTCGCATCATCTAATTTAAGCTAATTTCAGCAACTCCACTATATTATGAGTATTAAAGAATGAAGAGTATTAAGAAGTATTAAAGAATATGAGTAGTGAGTATTAAAGAATCACAACAACACATGTATTTACGTGAAACATACTTACGTGAACACGTGTACTTAATACGTGAAAATGCAGCAGAACTGATACTCGACAATTGAACGCAAACTTATGTTAACATAATTGGGCATGCCAATTCTATATTTCAGCACTAGGAACTTACAATCTCGAATCCTAATGAAGTTAGCTCCAGAATAGAAAATAATTAATCACGACAGATAGAACTTACTTAATCACAACAGCAATTTAATTCAAATGTAATATCTTATTCGTTTTTCCTTTTTAATTAAAAGCTCATTTACGTACATCTGGAGCATCTGGATGAGCATTTCGAAGCTACAAAAATGTAGGGGAAACAATGAGTAAAAGTTTCATTGTCAATAAAACTACATAAAACTTAATTCGATTATTAAAAATACTTGTAATTATAGGTCTTAAATATTCCAGTTTCATGACTCTTATACTTGCTATTTTTGTTATCAATCTAGTCTCTTCGAATCATCTCAAACGTTATTCTGGGCAAGTTTCGGCCTCGTAGATCTCAGCAATTTTGAATTATCTGGAATCAAAAGTTACACGCGCTTTTGGGGTCTTTTGATGTATGGCTCGTATTCCGTAATCAATGTGGTGGTTCTGTTGAACCTCCTCATTGCCATGATGAGCAATTCTTACAACATTATCTCGGTAAGTAAAAATACTATTTGAATTTTTCCTTTGTTACGATTTATGAAAGAATTATTTTGTTAGCTGGTTTATTAAGACTTTATATTAAAATGTGTTATTCTCTGTCTATTAGTTATAAGGTATTTATTCCGCATTCTTAGCATGCCTTCGTGGTGTAATAATCAGCTCACTCGGCGCGTATTCGAAAGGTCAGGTGTTCGAGTCCCGGCGAGGGGCATTGCAAATTTTTTATGTCTCCTGCTTCAAAATAACCTAATGTCTCTAAATAGTTACAAATAAGATAAGAAACATTAAGAAAGAAAATGAACACATAAGAATTATAAATTACAAAAGTAATCATTTTGCAAATACGAAAGTAGTATTTGCAGACACTGCCTTTGAAGCCCGAGTTCCATTTTATAGAGCTTCCCCAAAAGTCGTTTTCACAGATTATTTATATCAATATCTTGGTTTGTGGCCTTCTTTTACAGCCGTCATAAATATTGCTATAGACATTTTGATCTGTAATTTGATTGTTATTAGTATACTGAATCACATTATCAGTATATTAGAACATATATTCGGTATTTGATACTTGGATATGGTACCATATTTATGTACAACGTACCAGTTAAATTTCGCTGACCTTCATTAAATACTCATATTTCCTTTGCGTTCAAAAGCTGTTTTGTGTTCATAATGCTTGTCTGCTTTATCTTACCAATAATTAAGCATCCATTTTTAAAAAAAATAAAGGGATTTTACTTAAACACTTAATGTTTAATCCAAATAAAATGAAGAAAATTTTAAGAACACTTATTTTCTCTAATGATTGTAAAGAAGTTTTAATTTTAAATTTTCCCTAATGTACTTAGATTTTTCTCCATTTTACTTCAAAATGTTATTTATTTATTTAAAAAAGGAACCGTATAAAATTCGAAATAAATTTAACGAATAACGAATGCAAGACATAAAGCCAACGCATATCTTGTTTTAAAACATTTGAAGCACTCAAACAGTTCTGGAAAGCTTTTGTTCTTACGAAGATAATTTTGACATAAAAATCACGCAACAAAGCAACAAACTAGCCTTAGCTTGGGGTTGTTAGTTTTCCAAAATATTGATTTCGGAGGAGTCGGGTAAGAGATCTCTCTTCCTCAAGAAGCAGTAGCATCCAGCTACATAAAGGAGTAAATAACCATTCTGTCAGCTCCTTGAAGAATAGGAACCTCCTAAACCCTTCAAAATTGCTATTCTATGAAATCAGAGCCACATGTAAAGTTGACTTCTAACTAATTTTATATTTGGCATTAAGTGTGTGTCTCTTTTGTTTAGATGATTTTAATGCCTATCATAATCACATTTGCTGATTAAATATATGTTTGACAGGAAAGAGCAGATGTTGAATGGAAATTTGCTCGAACTACACTTTTTATGAACTATTTTGAAGAAGGAAGCACAGTGCCTCCACCATTCAACATTTTCCCCACCTTTAAACATCTACAACGACTTTTTAAGAAGAAAAGACCCTTTAGTGATATGTCATTCAAAGTAAGTTGAAGTTACCCTGAGTAAAAATAACTAAAATGTTACGGATAGTTCTTCTTATATATACAGTTATGAATTAATAGAAAATTTATAAGAATCATACAGATGAATTATAACGCATTTTTCCACTTTTAATGCATCAGTATCTATTGGAAAAGATAAGATGCCTTTAATTCTTTTGAATTTTAAGAATATTTGCTTATGATAATTGTATTGGGAAACGCCAGCCATTATTTCCCCAATCACCATGTTCACCCGATTTATTCCTGCTGATACGGTTTTATGAAGATCTGTTGAAACTGCTATTTTTTTATCCCTAGTTTATCTTTACGAGGAAGACAGTAATACCATTAAACTTCAGAGGGGGAGTATTGTGTTAATTTTCAAAAAATGTATAATTATTTGGGAACTATACTAAATTTTCTATTCGTAATAGAAGTAACCATAATGATTGATATCAACCTCCGTTTAAATGCTTTAAAAAATGAGAAAATTGTTTCCTTGAATTTTTTCACGTATTGATTTTATCTGTGTAAGGAATTTTATCGTTCCTTATCGTATACTTTCGTAGTGTAATTGGAAGCACGTCCGGATAGTAACCGGAAGGTTGAGAGTTTCGCTCCCGAAGAAGGCAACGCTAATTTTTTTTCTTTCTTTTTCTTCGTTTTTTCCGCTCCAGAATAAACCTATTCACTCTGCATCTTTCAAATTTTACATTTAAAACGTGCTATGGCTTTACAGCCAATTTATATCACTATATGAATGCCTTTTTTTTTTTTTTTTTTTTTTTTTTTTTTTTTTTTTACAGATGGAAAGAAAATTAAGCTAAAAGTATTCAGTTTATTCTAAACGCCATGCGAGTTTCCACAACTAATTCCACACAAATTTTAAGTTCCACACTAAAAAGCTGGTTCTCTTTCCCAGATGTAAAGAAACATTTTGCTACATGCTTATGCTTGTTTGTTCTAGTGATATAAATTAATTTAAATTCTTACTCTGTTCTATGATTGGGGCATATATATATATTATGCTAAAAGAAGCAGATCAACAATAGGACTCTTGATAATTAATTTTGAAGAACCCACATGATAATAAAACTGCATTTTCAGCTCTGAATTCGGAGTAGTCATATAATAGCAACATTGCATTTTCTCCTTCCTTATCACGCGCCTTCGTGATCTGATTGGAAGTACAACTTACCGGAACTCGGGAGGCCCGGAGGTCGAATTCCTCTAGCGGGTTGTACATTTGTCGTTTCCTGCTTCGACAGTGTTGGTGACACAAAAATACATTTAAAATTGTCATGACACCAGTGATCCTGCTGCATTAGGATCACTGGTGTCATGACAATTTTAAATGTATTTTGTGTCACCAACACTGAATGTATTTGTATGTTCATCACTAGTGTCATGACAATTTTAAATGTATTTTTGTGTCACCAACACTGAATATATTTTGTATTTTCATTGTATAGAATGTATAATCTACTGTATCGTATTATTGTGGTATTATCTACTGTTCGTATTATATTGTGGTATTGTAGTATGTATAGTATCTATATCAGTTGGCTTTTAGTACAGGTAAATATGTAATTTTTTTTATTATTATTTATTTATTTATTTATTTATTTGTTTGTATTGTATTGTATTGTAATATTGTATAGTATTGTATGGTATCTTATATTCGTTAACTTTTATGCAGGCTAAATATGTTATTTTTATTCCTCATAATCGTATAATTAGCCTTATTGCATGTTTTTCCCACAATACCACGTGATCAATGTATTGTACCGCTATTGCATTCTGTTACATTGTATTCTTTTATTTTTATTTCTTTTGGTATATCCTCTGTGTATTGCTGTAATCATTACATTCATTATTTCACTATGTTCTCTATTTTTATGTTATATCGTCATTAAGCCTAATTCTACGTCTATATTTACTCATTGTATATTATTGGGCTGCCCAACATCAGACTGTACTTTAGCTTATGTATATTCTATATTTGTGTGTATTACACTTTGTAAAATTTTTGCTTATTGTCAAAAACTCGCCCTTTTTGGCCCTGCATGCTTTTGCTATTTTATTTAATAAATGTAGGGCCTGGGCGGTTGTTGGGACTGTCTTTCGTGGGCATTTGGTCTGTTTGGACTGCCCCCGGGTTGAATTTGGCTCTGGGTTTGGGCGCCCGGTGCGTGGCGTCTTGTGATTCCTCTTTAGGCTCTAGATATAGGTGGACGTGGTGCTATACCGATTAACCTTTTGGTAAAGGGACAGTGCCCACGTCCTCCGTTGCTTATCGCTTATCGCTTCCTGCTTCGACAACAATTCGTGTCCGAACTAAAATATGGCGGGCGATTATTCGTCACCACCTTGATTTGGCGATTGGGTTTCTCTCCTTCCCAGTCACTCCTTAAGTGGATGAGAATGCAAAGAATTTTTCTTCCTCCTCACCAGGTGCTTAGGTGGTGATTGGAAGCTCCCTCTGAGGGCACACCTCGACCAGCAACGCATAGGGCTTTCATACTCATGCGGCTAAGCAGTCCGGACACCCATAAGGCTGGTCTCTCGCGGCACCTGTACATAGTTTGTGATCGGGCAAGGGGGAAATTTTGTGCCTTCGTAGTAATTAGAACTACCGTAATTAAATATGTCCAAAGTTTTTCTGCTAATTCATTGCAAATGATTTTAAGTAACTATTTACTTATATATTTATTTATTTGATTTCAGAAAAAAGAGACCAAAATGAAGGAAAGAGATTCTATTTACCAGGTAAGTTTTTTCTCTCTTCTCATCCAAATTAATCACAAACTCCCCCCCCCCTCTGAAAATTTACATTTAAATCTATTTTTGTTTTATACTTTCATTATATTGAAGAGTCTAATTTTCACGTGAAGTTTCGGAAAAGGAAGCAACTTTATTCTAGAACAATATTTTACATAGCTTTATCAGAAAAAGCAAAAGCTGTTTATCTCTTTTTCTTAAAATAATACAGAAATCTAAAAAATTATTGTTGCATAAAAATAATGCAAAAATTCTGAAAACTAATTTTTTTTTTTCCCAAATTATTCTCCTTCAAGTTGTATTTTTTATATTTTTGCAATATCTTGAAATTATAAGTTTTAAATCTTGACTAAAATAACTTAAATTTTTACTTTAAACGTCAGAAAAAATTATAATCTTTAAACTAATGAAAAAAGCTTTAGAAAATAATTTTCAAATAAAATTCCCAATTTTCTGCATAAAATTTTGACTTTTAGTGTAAACACAAAATAAAAATGAAGTTTTTTTTTAAAATTCTCTAGCGCGTCGGAAAACTCGCAGCATTTTAATGCCTCTGTTTGATCAAAATACTTCCCTTTTGCTAAAAATCTGCACCTTTATCACTCAAGCTACTAATATCGATCCAGAAAGATACCACTTGACTTTGCAGGGATTCAGAAAATCAATATTCTATTCTTAGCCGCATCTCAGAGTTTAATAGCCCGGCATCAGAATGAAATAAATAATTCGATGAGATTTTTATAAAGATTACAAAAACACTGACGACATAATATATACATGTAAGATTCTTTTTACCTTGCTGTAGTCTTTAGTGTCAGCTGGAGAAGAATTTTTTTTTTTTTTTTTTTTTCTAAATGCATTTAAAGAACTACAGTTTTGAAATTTAGAATTCCATAATTTAAAAAAATCACAATGTCACAATCAATAATATAAAGAAATTTATCTTGCCTACGCTTTACTTCAGCAACTATTCGAATTATAAAATGGCACTAGATGTGCATTTCGAAACAAAAAATTTGAAAATATCCAAAAATAAATACAGTAATGCCCCGCATCCACGAATGAATCGTTCCAAGATTTACCATGGTTACGGGATATCATGGGTAATACCGAACGCTAAATATAATGTGATGTTCATTTAATATACGTAAGTGAAGATTGATTTAATTGATAAAGTATGCACAATAAAACATTACCAGCATTAAATAAAAAACTAGTAAAGTTTATCTGTAAGCTGAATTGTTTATTTTCAGTATACCCAACTGCTTATTTTAAGTATACTCTCTCTCTCTAGTACGTATAAAAGTATCCCAGATTACCACTTCGTAATAATGCCATAACGAATTTTCGCCTTCTCCACTGTGTATTCTCGTTGTGCGACTGGTAGCACGTTCGGGTTAGCAATCGGAAGATCCGGATTTTGAAACCTAGTGACAGCATAGCTGAATTTTTGTTGTTCTTGCTTCGAAAAGCAGAGTGTGACTTTCAAAATGGCGCTCGATTAAAATGCGGTGTATGATAATTCGCTACCACCTGGATTTGGCCGATTAAGTCTCGCTTCTCTTCCCCCAGTCCCCCTTTAAACAGAGGGAGAATATAAGGAACTTTTACCTTTCCCATTACGTGCTTCCGTAGTATAACTAGTAACGCGTCTGGCTAACAGTCAGAAGCTCCAAATTTCAAATCTTGGTGAAGGCATTGATGATTTGTTTTTGATTTCTTGCTCCACAATAAACATATTAATAATTTTACAATGAGAAGGCAGATTTTTTAGCAAGGACAAGGGACAAAAATTGTGCTATTACTTTTAAGTGCAATATTACTTTCAACTATAGAGAGACTTATGAAAAGCGCGCTGGATGAAATTATGAAAACTAAAAAAAAAAAAAAAAAAAAAAAAAAAAAAATAAGTAAAATAAAAGGATTGTGCACATCCTCTCAATGAAGTTCCTGATTTTCAAAGAGCATATGTTGTTGCAGTTTTCAGTTTAAAAACGGGACATGATTGTTTAACAAATTATTTGCATAGATTTTTGACTCATTCCTAGTACTAACTATGCGGTGTATGGTGCCGAAGTTATAGATGAAAAACAGGTTATCCATTTTAAGTGAGAAATATTTTTGTAAGATACTGGGGTACTAGGAAGACGATTCAAGCCTTAAGGACTGGCTGGCCATTTTGAGCTGCTTTGATTTTAATTGAATATTTCTAAGTGTTTCACTCTTTTTTATGCGGTTTTAAATATTTATTTTAACTTTTGTGAGCTAACTTTTTTTTTTTGTGAGCTAAAATTTTAACTTTTTTAGTTTATATGTTTTAACTTTTCCTGTGTTTGCGCTTTACGTTTCTACACATTAGTGAACAATCTTGTATTCAGCTGCTGTTGGGGAGGGGGATTAGGCTTCTTCTCAAAATACGATAGGGTAAGGAAAAAGGCTTTAATTGTATTGTGTAGCATCATGTTAATTATTAGAGATGATAGAACAATATATATCACGTTTTCCCTTCAAAGCACTGCATAACAAAAGGAAAAATTATTAAGGCTTAATTTTTAAAATTAGAAGTGCCAGAGCCATATAGATGGTGTCAGGAAAAATGAAGAAAAACAAATAAATAAAGTAATTATTAAAATAATTAATGATTAAGAAAATTGAAATTAAGAATTCATTATTCAAATGCAAAGCGATAAATAGAACTCCATATATTAAGTTTAATTAATGATAAATAGTTAAATAATAAAATAAAATACCAGACCTCGTCTTACTTTCGGACTTTAGCTGGAGTTACTATATTACATAAAAACTAGGAAACAGCGGGACCCGGCTCCGGCTGAATCTAAACCTTTAATATAGAATGTTTATCTACTATTTTAAGGGCGGATAGAAACAAAATTCATTCTTTTTCCAGAACACCAATGAAAAGACTTAATGGGGGGAAAAAAGTAAAACAGTTAAAATGTCACTAATGAGGAAAGATGTAAATCTAGAAACAATATGGGAGTATGCAAGAAAACTTAATGAAGATTTAATTACGGAAGAAAATTTTAATGAAAATTAAAAGTTTAATGGGATTAATTTCATTTAATTTCTTTTAATCTTCGGATTCCCCGAATCCGAAGGTTGACGTGTAAGCTAAGAAAAATATAAATTTCTTTACAAGTGACCAATTTCAGTCCCCCATATTTTGTTACATCGCTCCGAAAAATTCAAATGCTGTTTTCGTGGGATGTCAGCAGCACTGGATATGTTTGAACCCTTTATTCTAGTATTGCACTATGTTAAGCCCGTTGAAATTTAGAACGAGTTTAGGAACATTAACAATGGTTTTCGTTTTGTTATAAATAGCATGTAACTGAAACCATATTGGATCAGCGGATACGATGGTACGACTAGGATAATTACTTTTAGTGCATAAGGAAACGAAATATTTACGCGTTCTCAAACAAACTCTCATAGGTTTATTGCATTTCCTGGAGAATGCATTTTCACATGTTGAATGAGAGTACATTTTTCTCCATAAAGTCTTAACCTCTGTCAAAGGGTTTGTTTCCCATGGAACAACAAGCATGCATTCAGATGTTATAATCTATGTTTACTTCTATTAAATTAAAATTTTACGAGATCAAAAGAATTTTCTGCTAAAATTGTGGTTCAATACTGCAATCACGCTCCGGCGCTCTGAAATCTGGTCCGGGACGCGCATGCGTATTTTGCTCATGATCGATTTATGCTGGTCCGGGACGCGCATGCGTATTTGTGCTCATGATCGATTTTGCAGTCGGAAGATAATACGTGCTTGGAATCTTGTACTTCATAACGTTGCGTATTTTGTAACTTATAAACCATGAATTGTTTTAATTTTCTAAACATTTTTTAGATTTCATTAAGCTTCGGAAGCTGAATCAGAGACTACGAAAGCACGAGCATTAAAAAAATAAGTAACAATTTCCCATAAAATATGCTTTTCTCCCTGATGTTAGAATTACACCCAGAGATTTTAAAACTAGTCTTTTTCTCCTCATAAGAAAAAAAAAAAAAAAAAATTAATCGCGCTTTATTTACTTACAAAATAAAGAAACTTTACATAACCAATGTGCTTCAAAAATTTTTTAAATAAATATTACTAAAATATTTAAATGTAACATTTCGAAAGTATTTAAATGAAGTTCATTCGAACCTTAACCCAAACTCAATTGGACATGAGAAAGGCTAAGCTACTTTTTACCAAAAATATTCTTGCCATTTTTATTGCTGAAAATAACGGCAACAAAATCAAAATTTTAGACAATGTTTCAAAATTTGTTTGAAATTTGAGAGCGCAAAACTTTCTTAATGTCCACGCATTGTAATCTAGAGAGACGCGGAAAGAATTCTTCACACGCACATCTTTCATGTAAATACAAAAGACCTTCATTTCATTATTTTTCTTGCTGCGGATTCAGTGCATTGTTGCAGATACGAAATTAATGAATTTTAGATCTGGGATTTCATTATTTTTTAATTTTAATTAAAGTAGTTTCCTTAAATAATTTCATTAATGGCATAATACTGATAGACAGTACGAGAATAATTCTCGTTAAAAATACTTTTTCCTTAATTTTCATATCAATTTTACCCACTTTCATAGACGTAACCGTTTGAAAAACTTTTCCATTTAGTTCGATTGTTACGACATATCTATCGAAAACTTCAAGAACGGGAACAATATTCAGTAGTACTATAGCTGGGATTAAAAACAATTTTCTAGCATTTTGATACTTCCGAAAAACATCTAATAAAATATTAATCGCATTCACAGACTCAGAAGAAAATATTCAAGATTAATGAAAATTTGCGAGTTATGCTAAATATCTGGGCACCAGCTTTCGTGTAATAGAGCATTTTCAACGTGTAAATATAAACAATATAAATAACGATCACTCATAGTGTCAGCTTACAGGGCTCTGAACAAATATTTCCCTTTCAAATATTTAAGCTTCCTCTCTTGAAGCCTTTAAATCGAATGTCAGTTTGATGACTACGATATACGGCAAACATCAAAGCCATAATGAGCACACTTTTATAATATCTAATAGTATTTCTGAGTGATTTCATATTTTTCCTAGAGCGTGATGTGCAACCTTGTTTGGCGATACGTAACAGCGCAGCAGAAGGAGAACGAAAGTCATCCAGTAACTGAAGACAATATCAACGAGCTACGGCAAGATGTGTATTCCTTCAGGCATGATCTCATGAGAGTTTTAAAAAGCAATGGCATGAATACGAAGGATGTAGAAAAAGAGGTTGTAGATGGTAAGAAAAATTTGAAATTTAACACAACATTTTTTGAATATTAGAAAGAAGGTAACTATCTTAAGGGGACTCATACACCTTAAAACCCATAAGATCATCGAATATGTGACTGTCACAAGAATTGGGATAACTCATTTATTTTAAAAGCAATTATTTCCATCTTTTTTGCAGCTGACTACATGATATAACTGCTTTCTGAATAGTAATCAGAAGTTGTGTTGCCAAAAATATTTTTATAATTTAATCTGCTTTGTGACAAAATATTTCGTCATGTTTCCACTTAGCGCGCACAGTTTAAAACATTCTGTTGCATAATTTAATTCCATATTTAATATATAGCTTATATACCATTTGGAAACTACTGTGATCCAAAAATTCTAAGAATTTCATGTTAATTTTTTATTTTATTTGGAGTTGAGTTTATAAAGTGTATTTTATTAAAAAATCTATAATGTTTACGTACATAATTTTTTTAATTTTAAAATATTCATCAGATTTTTGTTTTAGTTAGATAATAGTGCTCATATAAAGAATTCCACCAAATTTCAAGTACGTACCATTAGCCATTTTTAAAATATCGTGCGCGCAAGGTGGAAACATAACGGAAAATTTTGTCACAAAGCGAATTAAATTACAAAAATATTTGTGGCAACACAAACTTTCTGGTTACTAGTTCCCCAACCAGCTATATTATGTAGTCAGCTGTAAAAAGATGGAAGTAACTGTTTTTAAAATAAATAAAATATCCCAATTCTTGCAACAATCCCATATTCGAAGATCATAAGGGGCTTAAGGTGTATGAGCCCCATTGCAGAAGAATTTGCAGAGAAAACACGTGTGTGTGGTACTTAAAGCAAAAATTTAAGCACAGGGAATAAAAACAGTGTTTTATTAGGAGAAAAAAGCATGAGCATATTATCATAACTATAATGACATTATAATGAAAGTTCAGAGTTGGAGTGAATAGGCAGCCAAAAAATACATGCATTCATTAATGCGCTCTGAACAATTGCGCAGAAGCGAAAAGAACATGACTTACTTCATCTGTCAGTTAAAATATTAAAATAACCTGACTCATGCAAGATACGTTTTGACATTCCAATGCAATTTAACGTTGTATAAGACTCCACACCTTTTGATTAAAATACATTCAAATGCTAATGTTAATAAATAGAATATAAATCCTTGCTCTATGCATACACTTCTTCCTATTTTATCTTTTTTTTTTAAACTTTATTAAGTATCTTAAATGCAATGAAGATTTTTTTCCGAAAAAAAGATCTAGTAACTAATCTTAAAAAATAATACAGCAGAATATTTTAATTAGAACTAATTAACAAATGTTTTTTTACAGTTTCAGGGAAACGTATCCAAATTAGAAAGCGTCGTCTAATTAAAGACTTCAGTATAGGATTGATGGAAGTTTGCACTGATGAAGCAGCACCCGAAGTAGTTAGTAACAAAAGTGTATTAGCAAGGCTCGTTGGTTTATCAGGCAGCGAAAACAGAAGTTCTCAACGTTGGAGAGATCTTATTCAAGCAGCAAAGAAATCAAAGATAATAGGTAACAGGGATGGCGAGAGTGGTCGTTTTGGAAGTATTAAAAGAAATAATATAAATGAAGACGGTGCACTGGAACAAAAGGAAACGGAGAAGATGGATTTTGAGTTTCAAAGCAGAGAATTCACAGAATCAGAATACTACCAAGCTACGGAGAGTAATTTGTATCCGATAATACCAGAAGAGCTTGCAAACATTGATTCGACTACCGTAACATTACCAATCAGTTCGCAGCCAACTTCACAAACTAAACCTTTAACGCCAGTTCACAGTAGCAATGAAAGTCACACACCCAGCGTCGAAATGCGAAGTTCTTTAATGAAAGGTATTAAATTATCACCTGAAGCTCTGATGAAACAATCGCCAACGAGAAAAAAAGAAACTAAATACCAAGCACCCAAACCTGCAGTAATGGATAACAAAGCAGCGTCAGCAGACAGCCAAAAAGTTGACATGAAATTATGTCCACCAGGCAACAAAGGTACTCCTTTTCTCTCACCATACAAGAAATCAACTGGAAATGTGGATCTCTTAGTTCCTGAACAATTTTCAGGGTCTTCCAAAGGTTCCGAAACTGTATCAAAAATTATAACCGATAAAGGAAAAACAACATGCACTGATACAATGATAACAGTTACTTCTTCTCCTGAAAAGAAGACACCTGCTAGAGTAGAATCATTATCCGTGGAAATTATTCAGAATGAATCTAGCATTTCGGAACTGATTAATTTGAACGAAAAACAAAATACACAGCATATGCTCAATGTTTCAACTCTTAAAAAAGAAAGTAAAAGCAATACCGTAACCGAACCATCTCAGCACGCAGTTATGCCAACAAATGGGAATTTCGATCAATACCCAATGCAACATGAGATGAACTTAAATGGAAAAAGTTCGGTACCAAGTCCCGTACATACTGAACGTAAAGGATGGCTTTAAGGAACTTAGTGAATGCCTACTTTTATAAAATATTAAAGCGTAGACTGTTGAATAAACAAGCACGAGCTGAATGCAGTACTTCACATGAAAATTATATTTAGGTCGTAGTACATCTGGAACTGCAAATGACAGACTTTTCAAACAGACTAATGCATACTGGTGGCAAAGGCAGGCAAAAATTAAAAGCATTCTTAAGAAGATAAAGCAAAAAATGCTTTGTTTGATTACGAAGCAGCAGTAGTTATGAGATAATCAATCACGAGAGGCTTTCAGAAGACAATAAATGCAATTGCAGTGAGAAAACCGAATCCATTGGTTGCATATACATGACATAAAACTATATACATATATATACAAGAAATCAAGTGTGATGTAATCAAAGTGATTCTGGAAGAATTTTAGGCAGATGTAATATAAATGGAAATGTAAAAAAAGAAAAAAGAAAAATAAAGTTTAACACATAAAAAAGAATAGCAATTTATACATATACAATTAAATACTTCCCACACTTCCCTCTAAAAAATGCATAAATTTTATTAAGCACATATATTCTTTTTGTTGGTTCGTTAACTAGGGACAGTGCACAAGCCTTCAAGGAATGGGTGCCTTAGTGGTGGACTTTCTAGAAGAAGCTGGCTTGTAGTCTCATTCCATACAGGGAAAACCACGAAAATGCTCGTGGAGTCAGCCCATTCGCCAGGATTATATTTTTTCAGACTGAATTTTATTACATATGCTTACATGTTCAAAACTACGTTCTTTTTCAAAAATGTTAATGAGCAATTTGTTAAGAAATATTAACAAAGCCAAATCTTTTAATTTCTATTTAAATACCAAAAGTTTAATTATCACAAACCAGTAGAAATTTGGATAGTTTTTTTTTTTTTTTTTTTTTTTAAAGGCAGAATAATGTCAGGGAAATACTAAGAAAAATTTGACAGCTAAGCTTTGTCTGCAACATGGTTTCATTTAAAGCAAACAGTATACGGTATAAAAAAAGCAGATATTTTAAATAGTATTCAGTTATTTAAACAGTTACATAAAACTAAACATTTATTTTTGATTCAAAAACCATTTAAAGCCTTCTTCATCTGAGGGTAAAGCCCATAAATATTCTACTTCCTTGAAAAGATTGCTTTTCGATATTGAGCTATTTCTTATTCAGCTTCTCAAATCGTTCTAGATATTCTACTCTTCCCAGGAGATTATATTTGATTAATTGAACTGTAGCTAAACACACAAGGCCCATCTGCCTAAGGGAAGCGATGTCTTCATGGAGGACTTTTTAAAGGAAACTATATCTATTCACATTACAAACGGGGAATACCATGCAAATTCTCCCATGCAGCCGACCCGTTCACCAGAACTAGAACACAGGTAAAAAAATCACCGTTTATTCTAACCTAAGGTATCATCGATTGTAAGACGTTACCTATAATTTCACTACCACAAATAGAAGGGGGGGGAATGTTTGACTTTAAATATATTCAAAAAAAATAAAATATTAGAATGTTTATTGATAATAAAATTCGATTTACTACAAAAGTAACATCCATTTATCCCTAGGTATTTCGTGCCTTACTTCTTTTTAAAAGCAGTACCAAAATTTAATTCTTCTGAACCATCAATATCTGCATCAAATATCACAGTTTGAATCTTCCGAGTAGATTTTTCTTGCATTGTCTCATAACATATAATCATCTGACCATCGACAGCGTCTGTGTTTCATCGAAAGCGATGAAGTAATCTTTTATAAAATAGTGTACTCAATGGCGTAGCAAGGGGGGCAAGGGGGTGTATGATGCCAGGGGCGCCAAATGGTCTCCAAACAAGATTTTCATCATATCACTGTGTTTTTTTCGAGGGGGGGGCAAAAACGTATTTTCCCCGGGCGCCAGTTATGCTCGCTACTCCACTGAGTGTACTAATCTTTCTCGCATTAACTTCAGAGTTGTTAATGCATTCTCTGCCAATTTTGCTGTCAATGCTATCTTTACCAAAAAACTGCCAGTTGACAACTCCTTCCTCAAATGCCGTCCAGACAGGAAAGTGAAAATACAATCTAAACTGGATTTGTAGCCTGAGATTACACAATTTGGCCAAACTAAGCTGGTTCAAACCTTAACGGCGCGATTTAACTTCAACTAGCAAATGGCTAATGTCGGAATATTAACTGGAAGAGCTGGACGATAGAAAGTAAAACGGCGAGAGACACCGCCAAAAGCCCTAACTGTCGCCTTAAATAAGCATAAATTATTTGCATCCTGGTGAGGGCTAACAAAGGGTTTACAAAGGGTAACAAGGCGTTTATAAGGCCTACAAAGGGTAACAAAGAGTTTGCAAGGGCTAACAAAGGGTATAGATACAGTTTTTTTAAAGGTTAATTTAACATAAAAATATCTTACAGCGTTACCTCTTCCTTTTTTTTTTTTTTTTTGGTGGACAAGTAAAAAAAAAAAAAAATTGCTGAAAAAATAAAAACGTTTAGTAGTTGCTAAATAATTTGAAAATCTGTAACGTTGCACTTTAACTTGACTCAAAACTTTCTAACAGATTTTCGGCCATGTTGCCTGGTTGAAATCGAGCTGAAGGTTGAATTGACAAATATACTAAAAATTTTGCAATACTAGTAGTCCTTTGCATAATAGTAAATTATTATGTCCCTGTCTATTTGCATGCGGGTCGCAAGTATGAGATTATTCCGCAACTGAACTAACTTGAGTAACCTAGGGGGATTGCGAGCTTACTTCAGAAATCCTGAAGATTACAGTAGAATAAAAATCCAAAAAGACTTCAGATAATTCGGAATATGATTGCTATACACGCACATACAATTAATTATATATACATATTTCCAAACAATTTCATTAGCAGACTAAAAAATATAATTTTTAAAAATTTACCAAAAATTAAAATATATTTTACTATATCATTTCTCACAGTTGCCTACATTTTTGGTTTTTCAACATTTTTAGAAATAATTGCAAAGTTTAGCTTGATTTTTTTTGGAGGGGGGGAAATTCTGCGTTTGTATTTCTTCCTGCTACCGATTTATTAAAGTTTAGTATGATCAGCAAGGCATTTTGGATACAGACAGTAGCCTTTTACTTATAAGGTTCCAACCTTAAAGTTACAGCTATGTATGTGGAACCTTGAGACAATAAAGCATAAAAAGAATTCAACTATTTCAGTGATAAGTTTACAGGTTAAAGAAAACAACAAACTAAATTTTCGTTGGTGCTGATACAATAGAAACGCTATATCTACAAATCAATGTATTAAAGCCTCTAAACCTGGCTTCTGAGATAACATGCCTTTCACGTAGGTCTAAATACAAAATTCACTCATCAGATTTTCAGTAAAAAGAAAACAAGATTGCCACAACTTTCTCTTTGAACTTCGATGTTGGCTCGTTACTTCATTTGCATTTTCTGATGAAATATTCAAAACAATGGAAGTGCAGGAGATATAATGAGAAATAACATGCTAATTAAAACAAGCCTTACAGATCTACTTGGTACATGAAGAATTTTACAACAATCTCACACAAACAATACAGTTTTGGAATTGCTGAAGATATTATAACAGAAATATAAGAAATAGATGTAATTAAAGAATACGTGAATGGAAGTAATAAAACAAGGAGATGGATGAAAACTATTTATTTGTAAATAAAATATTTTAAAATTCAACAGAAATTCATATCTGCCAATTTTATAGCAGAAAAATCATATTTTTGAGACAAACAAAACAAACAAAAAGGGGGAAAGTGAATTTTATTAAAAAAAACTGATATATATCTGGATATTTTGAAACTATTACATCAGGAAGCATTATAAAATTAGACAAATGAAATTAATTTTAAAATAATTACCTTTTTATTTTATTATTTGTTTATTTGTCGTATTTGCTTTACTTTTGGAAGTTGAGCTGTAAAACATTAATTATCTTCTTTAAATTCCAGAATCAAGATTTTCAAAAATTCCCAAATGGAAGAAAAGATCAAAATATATAAAAAGATAACTAATTAAACTAAACTCAGTGGCGCAACGGCCTTACTGGGTCATGGCCTACAGTGCCCTGATATGTGTTACCTTAACCGCGGGCCCCAGGGTGCATGGGGATATGCCCTGGTCAAGTGGTCAACATGTCGCAGAATCCCACTCAAGGGATGAAAGGCTGAGTCAACCTTGCCCAACCCGGGAATCGAACCCTGGACCTGTGGTGCTGTTGCGCAACGCGCTTTAAAAGATAACAGAAGGAGATTTTTTTATTTCAATGTTATTTTTCTAAGAAATGGAATTTTAATATATTAATGTTAATATATTTTAAAGATATCAAAACGACACTCTTATATTTGCTGAAAAAAATGAAATTCGCGATACTCCAGATCAAACTTTCTGTAGACAAATTTAAAATTACTATAATGTTAACAAGTTGCTATAATTAGCGACACGCAGTGAACGAATTCATGTTTCAAAAATGGAAGAACTCACTTTATCATATATTATTAAAAAATGAAGAATCTGCATTTGCGTTCATTGAACTATGGAAAAACCTCTCGAATACGTGCCAAGTGCGTTACCGTTTTACCACGAAAGCATGCTGGAAAGAGGGAGAAAATACCTTATATACTCCCCCTTTTAAAGCGAGAATGTAGATTAGGGGGCCCAACTGCCAAATTCTGGGGGTGACGAATTACTGTCCACCACTTTCAATACGCCACTGTAGCGTCAATAGGTTATTTTGAAGCAAGAAATGTGAAAAATGTGCAATGCAAGTTTGTAATCCCTATCGCAAGCAGGTCCTAATCATGTTTTACCTCGAAGAAAGTCGTATCCAAAGGTAGTATATGAAAAATTAAAAATTAAAAAAATGGAAAGCATTAAAAATTAAAATGAGTAAAAAAAATAAATACTGATTTCCTCAGTTCAACGCTACAAAACAGAACTTATTAAGGGAAAAGAGTTTTGAAGCCCGAAACCAAGTTGATCAATGAATTCCGAATACAAGTTTCATTCCTCTGCGACATTTGAGAAGAAACTTAAATTTCAAAGATTTATAAGGTATTTCTCCCGCATTCTTAGTATGTCTTCGTGATGTAGTGGTCAGCACGCTCGACGCGTTTTCTAGAGGTCCGTCTCTACAGATTAATTAAAAAAAATTTTTTTGGCTTAAATCGATTCATGACATTATTTTGATTGACTATTATTCGTAACTTATGATCTGACTCTAGCAGAAATATAATTTGATGCTTACTTGGAAGAAAGATAAAAAACTTTCACTATATTTATTTGTTGTTAATTGATGACAGATTGGTTTATCCCCTTGATAAGTCGATTAATCTGCGAACAATGACAATAGCTACTTTTTCAATGCTTAAAATTTTTACTTTTGATTTTGCTTTTGCGAACAATGACAATAGCTACTTTTTCAATGCTTAAAATTTTTACTTTTGATTTTGCTTTTTT